TCTCTCTCTCTCTCTCTCTCTCTCTCTCTCTCTCTCTCTCTCTCTCTCTCTTTCTCTCTCTCTCTCTCTTTCTCTCTCTCTCTCTCTCTCTCTCTCTCTCTCTGAAATCCGTAATGAACAGTGCAATGTGTTGACTTAGATTGTCTCAGAATTTTCCGCTTCTGATTTACCTCTGCTTCCAACCATATCCGTTAGTACGAGTATATAGCCAATAAAACTTCCAGAGAGACAGCCAAAAAAATGTATCAGCCATCCGGGTCCCAAGACTGCTGCTGTGAGAATTCTGTTACAGCAAGGCGGCATCTTAGACGACATTACCTTAATTTAAAAATCGACTACGAGGGTTGAGTGATTGTCTCTATTTATGTGAGGTTTGGAGGGGGGGGGGGCACCACTCATACATTCGACCATTCCAACCTTTGACCAGATAACCATTGCGCTAAAGTTGAAGTAATACCAATATGGTGTTGTAGTTGCTAGTATTAAACTGATAATCCACTCAGGGATGTATTATCCTTGAGCTTCTAATCTTCCCTGATAGTCATGACACATGATATGAAAACCCTGATCACTGATACTAATAATGCCTTGGGCTCACAAAACGCCTTTTTTCTTGTTTTTTATTTGCTAAATCAATAGCCCGATCTGTTACCTTACTTGCGTGAAGAATCAAAGGGAAACAGTGACTGATTTTGTAATTTAAAAAAATTTTAAAATTTTAAAATCTGAAAAAATGCTTTTTTTAAGGGGGGGGAAGGGGGCTACACCCCCAAAGTCCCAATTCGGCTCAAAATTATGGATTTAAAGTTGTAGGCATTTTTAGCTTCCTCAGCCCCTCCTACAACTATTTCATCGCACAATAACCCCTGAAAACAGCATTTTTTCCCAAACTGGGCATTATCGTCACCACCATTTTCTCATAAAGTCAATATTTTGTTTTTCTTTATCGGCCGTTTTCTCAAAACGCGACTTTTCTCTATACTTTTTTAAATAACTTCACCATTTTTCATCAGATCTACATGAAATTTTCACAGAACGAAGAGCAGAAGATGTAATACAAAAAATTTGTCTGTTGAATTTTTGATATTTGGCAAAGATTTTTGTTGGTGGTGTCTGGAGTGTGGATTTTCACGCATTTTTTGCAAACTTGAATGCTAGCTCAGGAAAAAACTCATTAAAAATGTTCTAATTCGTTTAGGAAAAAAAAACAACAAACGAATTTTTAGATCTCATGTTTGTTAACACGCCTGCAAAAAAAACAAAAACAATCAATCTCCATGAGCAATAAGTGCGGTATTCATTACGTAATACATGTTTTTAAAAATCTAATATGGCCACCGTATCCATGGAGACAACTTATTTCTCAAATTTGATTACGGATTTTAAGACTCCTTACTATGCTTGTTATATGTGTGAAATCTGTTCAAATTTGGTCCAGCAATAAGCCAGCAGATAGCCTTCAGGTGTAACTGCTGTGAATAAAAACAGCCTTTTTTTGTCAGTCGACCTCAGAATACTTCTGAGAATACAACAAGTTCGTCTTCATGTAACTGCACATTAGCGGTATGTTTGGTAAAAGCTGAAGAACAGTGTCGAGACGATCATGATGGCGACGGCTGTTGTGACGCAGTTGGTTGACGTACTAAAAAGAAATAAAGCACACAAAAAACACGGGGAAGATGGAAGTTCGAATGAAAGTGGGTTCTGAATTTGTCCATCCTTATCAGAAGATCTCTTCACTCAGCCTGGCGTTTTCAAAAGGCAAAAGTGTTTTACCGGATTGATCGAAGTAAATATCTATACGCCGGTGCCCCATTCTTAAAAGAGGTTAAAATCGTCTTTGGTCAATGACGCCAAGGCGACCTAAATGTGGTAATACTGCTAGTGGAGACCCAGTAAAAAAAATAATAATAATAGATAGCATTTGTATAGCGCATATCCCCGCTCAGCAGCAGGCTCTATGCGCTTTACACTATATTATTACCCCAGCAGACCATAGAACACTCCGAAACATTCTCAGCTTCCCGGGAAGTATACAGTGCAAGCAGCCGATTAAGCGCTCAAACACTAACATACTGACAAGATCTTTCACTGTCTATAGCTGGGTACCCATTCCCACCTGGGTGAAGTGAGGAAAATTCGTGTAAAGTGCCTTTCCCAAGGACACAACGTCGGACCCTTGACGGGATTCGAACCCACGACCTTACGGTTGCGAGTCCGAGAGCCTAACCACTAGGCCACCGACGCCACTATGTATGTAGCTTTCAACACCTCCCCGAGTGATCCTGTTGTGTTTCAAATTGGGTGGAAAAAGTGAAGGGGAGGGGAGAGAGAAAAGTTTGCCACATTTTGAACATTTGAAAGCTGCACTTCCGCTTGTGGGTGTGCGCACATTGCGAGCTTTTCTTCTGGTTTCAGCATTTATTATTCGTGAAGCTTCCTATGATTTGCTGCTCACTGTGACTGCTGCAAAATTCTCCAGCTAGGTTTGTCAGGAGCCAGACTCTTTCACGTAGAATTATTTATGTTGGTGTCCTTCAGAGACAGTTTCGGGCCGTCTTTGTAGCGTTTTCTTTTTGTGCGCCAATCTGGCGCTGTCCTCGGGACATTGTAGAATAAGAAAAAAACTTTTTGGGGGGATTCTGATGTCAGATATTCTTACATGGCCAGCCGAGTGAAGATGAGTTTTTTTATCTTAGAAAATATACTTTTGGCATTTGCCCTTTTGAGAAGGTCGGTGTCTGGTAGTATGAAAACATTAAGATAGATAGATAGATAGATAGATAGATAGATAGATAGATAGATAGATAGATAGATGGATGGATAGATAGATAGATAGATAGATAGATAGATAGATGGATAGATAGATAGATATTGAAGACCCAGCAGTGACAGAAACCGTCAAGTCAACCTGCGGAGCAGACTGTGATGAAATACTCTCGTGTCGTGGCCAAGATCTATGACCAAGATTGCGACATGCAGTGACAACAAAGCCACACGTCCGAATGACCTTTACTTCTCTCTTTTTATTTCTTCTTCGGGGGATGGGGGGGGGGGGTTCTGGTGCCTGCATATATTTAGTAGTAAAATAACCGTGTGCCTAAAGAGATTTAAGGAAAGGAAACAAAACTGAGCAACACGAAACTATATTACTTTTAACGAGATATTTTAATCCGATCTTTTAACTTTTTTCACTTCCAACTGAATGTTTTTAATTGACTTATGTGGCAGCAAGGAAAAAATGGCTACAAAACGGCCAAAATATTTACATCCAGTTTTTTTAAAAAACCTACCATAATAAACGTTACAAGCCACAAAAAACAGAATTGGAATTAACCCTTCTCCCTGATGCCCTTCCCTGCAATACTTTCTCCCCTTGCATAACATCTCCACCCTTATTTCCTACCCTGCAGTACCTCTTTCTTTCTGTATTAACGTGTAGATACGCCTCTCTTGTGTCTGCAATGTCTCCCCACTATTTCCACCCCTCCCCCCACTAAAAAATTATCCACCTCCCCCCCCCTCTTTCCCCTGGTTTCCTCTATTGTCTCTCTCATTCTCTCCCCCTTTGTCTTACCCATAGTCTTCCCCATTGTCTCCCGCAATGCCTCATTCGTTGCCTACCCCATTGTGTCCCAATACTGCTTCCTTAATTCGTGGATGCTGCTCCAGGAATCCACTTTTTCTCTTTTTCACAGATATAATTCTTCTTCCTGTCACATCTATCGGTTATGGAGAAGCCCCCTTGAAATATGGAAACACAGTTTTGTGTATCTTGATGATCAGGTTCTGTATCAAAGTTGAGAAGTGTCATGTTGACAGGGGTGTTGCTCCAGCCCCAACGAAATTCTCCGTATACGTTCAGGTCGTTGAGGCCCAGATACAGGGAATAGACATTCGCGTTAGTGGCGAGGCCCTTGATGAAGGTCAACTGAAATGAGAGAAGAGAACAAAATTTAGATATAAACTCTTACAATGATTCTACATAGATATTGATTAAGACTGATACCGAGCGTACTCCAAAGAATCTTTATGCAAATCGTGGCAATAAGTTTAAAAAGGATGAACAAAGAAGAATTGTGTAATGCTTGAAGGCATGCCCTTTTCTGTAACGATTCAAAATGTTTTCATTATTTAGATTAGAACTTCGGGTTGCCATATCCCTGGGTGACAGATGAAATGATAGTGCTGGACAGAATTCACAGTAAACGCTACTTAAAGATGAACCCCATGGGCTAGAGGGGTTATAGCGATCTGACTGTAAATATAACCATGTGCCAAAGAGAAAAGTTAATATCAAAGGGGGCACAATAAGAAAGATAATGAGTATTGGGAACATTAAGAAAAAGACAAACAAAAAACACTGCTGAAAGCTGAATACTATATAGCGTCAAATAGAGAAACACGTGTTTGTGGACAATAAACATATGTGAGGCAGCGTGGTGGAATCAGGCTCTCGTCAAAATAATCAAAGTGAAGAAACTTGCATTTTTTCCACAGGTTTGTGAATTTTTATCAATTTTTTTTTTTTTTTTTTGGCTCAACACCTTTTATGCCCATTAAAGAACTCATTTCTTTGTGGATTTTTCTGGGGAAAAAACCGTTGATTAAAGGAACAAAAAATGTAAATTTTCAGTTACCACGGACTCTTAAGCTATGGAAATAACTAATCTTTGGCGGCCATTTTCTCACTAATTTTTCCTCTGAAAACAGGTGACCCCCACCTCCTTCATTCGCAAATATCTTGACTTGTATTTAAGATTAAATGGATATATTTTCATTTAAATAAAGACAAGTGAACAAGATTTAAGATGACACCAATAACTCCTCATGCCCAAAAATTGACGAGTGCCTGATTCCTCCACGCTGCCTAACATATAATAAGGCATCACTGCTCTGAAACACAAGACGCACGCGTGAAATGATTAAAGCGATTACTGGCAATAAGATTTAAGGGGGGGGGGGCTACACCTGGAGGCTATCTCGCTTATTACTCGACCGAATTTTACCAGATTTCACACATATAACTAGCATAGTAAGGAGTCTTAAAATCAGCAATCAAAATTGAGAAAAAAGTTTCGTTTCCATGGTTACGCCGCCATATTGGATTTTATTGACATGTCTTACGTAATGAATACCGCACTTAGTGCTCATGGATATTGATTGTTTTTTTGCATGTGTTTTCACAAACATTAGATCTAAAAATTTGTCTGTTGTTTTTTTTCCTAATCGAATTATAAAATTTTTAATGAGTTTTTTCCTGAGGTAGCATTCAAGTTTGCGAAAAATGCGTGAAAATCCACACTCCAGACACCACCAACAAAAATCTGTTCTATATATCAAAAATTCAACAGACGGATTTTTAGTATTACCTCTTCTCTTCTTTCTGTGAAAATTTCATGAAAATTGGATGACAAATGGTGGAGTTATTCAAAAAAGTATAGAGAAAAGTCGCATTTTGAGAAAACGGCCGACAAAGAAAAATAAAATACTGACTTTATGAGGAAATGACGGTTACAAACATGCCCGGTATGGGGAAAAAATACGGTTTTTATGCCATGAAATAGTTGTACGAGAGGCTGAGGAAGCTTAAAATGCCTACAACTCAAATTCCATGATTTTGAGCCGAATTGGGATTTTGGGGGTGTAGGCCCCCCCCCCCTTAAAAGAAGGTAAACGTAGCATCTACATATTACGAAGGGTCATCTCACTGGTTAATGTTTTGAGATGGTTGGTTTTTTTAACATTTCGTTGAGTCTAAGTCCGGGTTTTTAAAAAGAATGTTAGGCAAAGAGAACAAACAAAATATTAAGTTTCAAATAGAGAAGGGAAAAAAGGTGATAACATGTTTAGATCATAGAGTTGTTTAGATACAGAGGGCCCCGAATCCCTACGTGAAAAACAAAAATATGCAACAACTGTGAACTCACACAAGACCTCAGGACAACACTTTGCCTAAACCTATTTCTCATTCTGGTGAAAAAAAATAAAAAGGAACAAGTCTTAAGAAGACATTTTGGGAAATAGTAAAATATAACCCCCACGTCTTAGCGTTGTCACCTGTTTCCTGTAAGAAATAGGTGCAACCTCACGGTGACCCCCATGTTGACCCGGTGATCTGTACACTACGCCGGGTACGATAGAAATGGAGGGAAGAGTTACACTTTACTTTTGAACACTTTCTTTAAGTGTTTTACTAATAAGGGAGCCCGACAGTTAACAGCTAAAACTGCAGGTTAACGAAGTCACACTCACCACAGCTGCATTCTCTACTGTCAAGCGGTCCACAGCGATTTGGGAGTTTGAATTTTGCCTTTTAATATCTTGATAGCAAGATATCAGGGAGGAAACAAACGTTGATGTATCCTTTACCACCTTGTAGCATTTGTTGAATTTCTCCGTCCAGCCTGTAAGGCATTTTCCACCGCTTGGCTTCACGTACTGGCAGCCAGAAGAATAACGACCGTCGCAGCTGACGAAGCGGGTATAATCTCTTCCTGGATAGAAAGCAGTACAACGGTAGTTACCCGTGGCACTATAGGTGCGTGCCCATGCCACATAACCCTTGCTGGGTTCAGACTTGTCCTGCCACACGTACTTTTGCTTTGTCTGTATATTGTTCAGACCGGTCCAGTAGCCGCTGTAAAAATTGGGTCTTGACCACATGTTAACTGTATCGAGCCACCTGAGTTCATCATCGGAATCTATTTTCAAAAGATGGGCACCTTGATCTGAACAAAACTTGGAAGCGTCTTGCCAATTCTTTTGGTCGTAACTTGGGTAGTAGCAAGAGTCAGCTGCTCGGAGCCAGTAATTTGGGCACTGGGTTTCTGGCATTGGCACGGCCTTTTCCTTACATATCAGACCATACTCATACACGTTGCAAGAAGTGGGATACACCTTGGACCCTTGGTTCAGCTTAAAACAGGTGTCTGTATTTGATGCCAGATTTCTGGAAGACATCCAAGGTATCAAATATGAAGACACTTGAGTACCGTCTTCATAAACATAGTGTCCTTCAGTCATTTTATCATTGAGACCTGTCCAGTGCTGTCCACTTAAATATTTCAATCTAGGCATCAAAGTTTTTTGTACAAAATCAAGTTCATCTCTGCCTCCAATAGAGAGCAAATGGCCTTTGTTCGTACCAATGCTGAAATCTTGACATTTTGCCTGTGCATCCTGCCAAGTAAGCTTTGTTGAGTAGGAATAGCTATAGTAGTAGCAACTTGTGCCAAAGGGCACGGGTAGGAAGCGTGCAACTGAAGGACATGCCGAGGTGCTTGACTTTTTTTCTACCTCACAAATGGGTCGCCTGAGGCTGGAACAATCTTCGTCTCGAAAAAGACCCAATTCAGCAAGTTCAACACAGTTCTGCGTATGGTCTGTGTCGTCAGGCTCGGTGACAATGGTCAAATTTGTGAGACCATTGGGCTCATCTTTAGCTATAAGGATGTTGCCGTCAAAATCAACTCCTTTATAACTTGTCCACCACATTTCCACATCTGGGTATTTGGAGATCTGCGTATTGATCCACTGCTTCTCTTGGTCACTCTATAACAAGAAAGAAAAATGAAACAAGTCAAGCAGAACACGGTTTCTGAAGGAAAGACTTCCCCTACAAGAGAAATGTTAAACAAATCTGAAGAACTGGAATTGTATCACAAAGGCCTGTTACCATTCAAATATAAACAAATAAAAAAATAAATGAAGGAAAGAAAGACAGAAAGAAATTAAATAAATATATATATATATATATATATATATATATATATATATATATATATATATATATATCAGTTCCATGATATTTGAGGGGAAATTTGTTTTAAAGTCGCGAAAAACATTTTATTTATGCATATCAGTACATCAATAAATTAATGGATACATTCATTACTGATATATAGAAAAAAGCAAACCCTTTCTGGATGCCACTTAGCAGGGCAGTGTTTTTTAGCTGGGGATCACTTGAATTGCCCATGATACACCCCTTGACCACTTACCAAAACACCGTTAAATTTACTCATGGAGGCTCTCGTGGTCGAGAGGTTACGGTGTTCACCTTTCATTCAATAAGTTCCGGGTTTGAATCCGGATAGCGACGGAATATTTTCTTCTCTAAAATGTTCTCCTTTCAACTCCTTTCCTGCTCTCTAGCGCCTCCTTTGCCAGCTCTGGGCTTCTGTCGTTTGCTTTCGTCTCCATTTTCTCCCCCCCCCCCTTTCCCGTGGTCCCTTTCTCTGGGCTCCTGACTCTTTTTGCAGCCTTTCTATTGCCATTCCTTGCCTCCTTCTTACAGTTGTCTTTCAGCCACACCCCTGCCTGATCTTGTGGTAAGTAAGATCTAACACCTAGCGTTCTCGAATAATGGCGAAAAATCTCGAAGGTTCCGTGTGCAAGTTGCGCACGTTAAAGATTCCGTGGTGGTCGAAAATCGATAAGAGTCGGCTTCGGCCGCCACCAGGACAAAATTCAAAATTTCCTACCAACTGAAAATGTATTGTGTTTCCAACGCGCTCACATGATCTTATGCAGTTGCGATTGAAGTAAAACACTTATCAACAGCCTGGACTCACGAACCACTCAATCACTGGAACCCCCACCAATTCACTCTATCGTGCTGGATTATGTTTATAGAATCTGATAGTAGAGGGGTTTTTTTTTTAAAAACCGAACGTTTAGACTTTGAATATCCGGAAGAGACATTTCCTGCATCATTCTTTCCTCATGGCCTACTTAACATTATGCTAAACCTCTTTTACGAACTTTGCATTGTTGACCACCCTATGTCACAAATGTTTGAATGATAATGCACCGTCATATTTATCAAATCTGTTAAGACTGTACATCCCAACGCGCAGTTTAAGGTTATCAGCTGACAAAAAGAATTTTTTTTTACCATCTATGAAACTTAAAACAATGGGTGACAGGGCATTTGAATACCAAGGCCCCAAGATCTGAAATGCTTTACAAAGTACCTGACGAGAGATAAAATCTTTTGATTCATTCAAATGTCAGCAGAAGTCGTTTCTGTTTTTAAATTACATGTATTAAGATGGATATTTTGAATAATTTTCTTTAGCCAGAACACAACGTTCTATGTTACTGTTGTCCGTTGTACGTTGTACTGTATTGTAAAGCGTTGAGAGCCTATGTACTTTAATCGGGGTTGAGCGCTAAGAAATTGTCATTTATTATTGTTGTTATTATTATAATTATATAACAAGGGTCAGAGTGTTTAGCCGTAAAATACCATTATAGAAATACATCTGTGCCGCTTAAGGAAACGTGGTTCACTATCTTCAATTCTTTTTATCACCGTATCATCTTCTCCATTTACTCCCTCACCTCAGAAACATTTTTTTTGAAAAGGTGGTATATATCTAATATGGTTAATTAGGAAGGGGGGGGGACAAAAGGGTGGGTTTTGGGGGAACAGTGTGTGTGTGGGGTTGGGGGTCTTTTGCATTTTATGCCAAGGCGGTGTTTGCATGTTTCTGTATGTGTGTATGAGTGTGCATGTGTGTATGAGTGTGCATGTGTGTGCATATGTGTGAATAGTATGTGTATAAGTGTGTGTGTGTGTGTGTGTGTGTGTGTGTGTGTGTGTGTGTGTGTGTGTGTGTGTGTGTGTGCGTGTACAAGTGTGTGTGTATGTGTGTGATTGCGTGTGTATGTGTGTGTGAGAGTGTGTGTGTGTGTGTGTGTACGTGTGAGTGCGTGTGTTCGGGTAGGTGTTTGTGGGTGAGTGTAATTGAGAGTGCCTTTGCCAAAGAACAAGAAGTCGATATCATACCTGTTATGAATCAGAACTATTGTTTGTACCCTGCCTCTCATATTTGTTCGTCTAAAGAATTGCATGGTCCGTTCTCTTAGATAACCACACAATTTTGAAAGGGCATTCCACCGTTGATCACACATGCTAGTTCAATATATACCCACTCAGGGTGGGTTGGTCTTAACATGTTTCGTTTTGTTTAGTAGAAGGACACCGAACAACAGACAAAATGGATACATAGAATAGTCCTTACACTAAGGAAAAGTGTTCACTAAGCTCATACAGAGTGCAGAAAATGTGTATAGCCGGCAAGATGTTAAATATAATAAGACCCCAAAAAGCAATAATTTTCCTGAGAGAGCAATAAGAGTGTTTCATTCTTTTATCAATAGCACCTTTTAATGTGTACCTTTTCTTGCCTTTTTCAACATTTACAATTCGAATATCGACAAAATAATATTTCTTGAGCACATGCATTAGATACGTTTGTGCCACAGATTAACCCCTTCATTGCTGACACGTAGCCATTCACTTCACGCCTGCACAGTCACAATAAACTTTTCCATTCAAGAGAGATTTCAGCACAAAGCCATGTGTACACCTTTATGAGAAAAAATCAAATGCACAATCTATAGCTTGTCTCTGCTAAAACTTCCTCTGTGAACCAAAAGAAAAAAATGGAAGAGAACCTATTTTGGAGAATGCAAGGGAGCACAATAGCTATGCAGCATGTAAAGAATAAATAAACTGCAATTTTTTTTGTTCTATTTTTTGGGCTTAGCACATTTAAACGCTGTCCGACTTGGCACTCATATGACCTTATGCAGTTGCGATCGCCGTAAAACCTCTTCTAAAACTGAAAACGTTGCCCGACGATATGCGCTTGCGTTAAACGCTATATTTTATTGAACTATCAGGCTTGTCCATGGCAGCGAGAGTTGCTTTCGTACATTCCGCATGTCAGACACTTTTTGGTTTGTTCAGAATGTTAAGTGTGCCAACTTTATAAACTGTCAACAATGTATAGGTCTGGTCTTCCTTCGACAAATTTGGTGCGCCAAGGACGATACAAAATTGGTAGAATGGGTGAGAGCACGACCAAAGATTTATGACAAAAAAAGTCAAAAGAAATGCGAAAAGGGATTTTTGTGTATCAATGTTTTGTGATATTTACTTATTTGGTGGAACCAGAGACAACGTCTTGTTCGAAACGATTTTCTTCAGTTCCACCAAAGTAGAAGAATATTGCGCTTCCTTGTTAGCACCATGATACAGTATGGCCAATCTACAGTTTGTATTCACTCAGAAAAGAGCAAAAATGTATGAAACATGTGGGCATGGGATAGTCTCCCTTTTTTAACACACTTTTTCTTGCCTTTACAAAGTCTTGGCTGTACGGTCACTGGAATACGTAGCCTTCAGGCGCGGTTCGTCCATAGAGCACGGTCTTGCAGTGCGCTCTAAATTTAGTTAATGTTCTAATACGTAAAACACCCACAATAATAAAATTTAAAAAGCAAGAAACAAACACTAGCCAAAAAAAATATTATATCAATACAAGGTCCTCACTGGCGCCCTAACTGTCATTTCTGTGTCTATACCGCTGTAAAACGTCTACTATGCCAAGCCAAAGTCCACGCGCTTTAGCTAAACATAATAGGATATTCAACAGTGTAACCTGACATATAAATCGCTCTCGGGGATAACCCAAGCGATGACGGCACTCGTACCGAGTTTGGCGGAACATTAATATTAATAAGACGGCATATCTCAAATGTGCTCCTGCCGAATAGTGCCGAAACATAGCCCACAGTAGGCAGTCTAAAAATAAACACGATAGTCCCTACGCTATTCTTTGCCAATATTATGTGAGCCCTGGAGCAATTCAGTGGAGTGCTCAAGCGAATTGTGATTGGTTCATTGTCTGTCTTGCCACTATTTTAAGTGACTCTGTGACCGTGACGGTCCTATGAGTTGTACTTTTGACAGGTTTTGTAGTGGAGTAGGGATAGTTATTACTTGAGTATTCAGTTCCAATAGAGGATGAACGAAATTGATGTTTAGCTAACAAACAAATTTAGTACTAGAAATCAAAGCGACAAGTAAAAAGAATGAAAATAAAAGCACAAGGTCCTCTCCTTCACCAACCGTCTCATTTACTAAACGTATGCCCTTCACTGTCTTCAGCATGCGATAGTTTAATTGTGCACGTCCACTTTTTAGCCCCACGAGCCGCCCCTGGTAGCCTTTGTCGGAAACCAAAAAGATTGATAGTCTGGTATAATGGAGGCGGCATTAAAAGTACCTTTTCCCACCAATGACTCCCTTCATATTCCACTAATTATTTTTTTTTACTTGGCACATGCCAAATGCGGTTCGTTAACAGGGTAAGACCGGTGAACACTTTTTGTCGGCAGGACAGTGGACACGAAATTCATTGCTTGGGATTTTTTGTTCAGTTTTAATTGATACCATCAACATTCAAACAGCACTTGAGCGATTTGAAGGCGATCAAAGAGTCAATCGGTGCTCGCTGTTTTATTGTCGCACTACAGAAACTCCTTCCTTAATCTCGACTTATCAATGCCAGCTAGCAACATTCTAGTCATCACTTCCTGACGTCAACCAAGTCAGCGAATCCAACAACTGCCCGCACAAGTTAAGAATGCAAAGTTGCGAGCAATATTTTATTGCCCATTTGGTTTCTCCGTTGCTTACACTTACTAAGACCACGTCTGTCTTGAACAATACATTGTACATTATTTTATTAGTAAAACTCTATCAGTAAATCTCTGTCTCTGGTTACTGTCAGGACATTTATTTTCAGTATAGATCTAGTCTATATTGCCTATTGAATTTTGAGCCCCCCATGATTCTGTTTGGTGTTCTATTCGTTTATAACTTCCCACATTTACGTTAATTAACCCAAACTCCATTCCGGCTGATACAAGGATTGCCTAGTCGTTTTATACGAGTAGAAGGAATTTTATGACTCTGAAGTTACTCGACAGGGGGAGTCTTTTCCACTTTCCTCTCAACCAGAGTTCCTTATAGGCATTTGACAAAGTTCTTCACTTAAAGGAGTGTTCAAAGAAGTGCAATAAAGAACGTGTGATAATGATCAAATTGAGTTACTGTATATTGTATCTGCTTCAAGAAAGGACAGCGCCATTGGTACAGTATCAGAATTGTTTCTTTAGAACAGCATGTTTCACCTCTTGAACAGTATGTATATGGAAATGTTTTTAGTGGAAAGAGACCATATCTGGCCGGGGGGGGGGGTGGTTGAGACAACAACTGGGAAGGGATGGGGTCAGTGTGAAGGAGCGGCTCCTGCCTAATACATCCTTTAGTTTCCATTACACAATCCGTTAACAGTTTTTATTTGTTTGTTTGTGAGTTTGTTGGGGGGGGGGTCCGTAACTCGTCCCTTGACCGTATCCATAGCTTTTCCCCTAAACACATCTATCAACTTGCCCATTTTAAAGTATAATTCATAGTCTTAACAATTAAGGAATCTTTAACTTTGTCTGTCCAGGAAATAATTCACGTAACAGCCTTTGTCTTTATCCCTCACTGTGTGAGTTACAGTGGAACAAGGATTCAATGAAAACTCGGATATCACTAATGGAGACCCATTCCCAGTTTCTTTTACTCATTATAATCAACAAAACAACTCGGATTGAGTGAACATATAAATGAGCGAACTCGAATTCAACAAAATCGCTAAGAACCCTATCTACTCTATTCTAAGAAACCATCGATCGCGCTTGCACCGTGGATCCTTACACGCTTAGCCTAGCCCACTATATTGCGTACATCTTGTGCGTACGATCTGAAGCCTTCTTTAGCACCAACACAAATGGCATGTGTTGTTGACACGCGTGTTAGACATGACATGTCTTAGTGTGTGCCAGGGTCAAGAAAGGTCGGTTGGTGGCTGTAAGTGCGTGTGTCTGAGGAGATGTTATTTTTGTTTGTATTTTATTTTTGTTTTGTTCTGTTTTTTTGTTTTTGTTTTTCTTGTTTGCTCAGTTGTTGTTGCTTTTGAGAGGTTTTTTGTTTCGTTTTTTTTAGGGGGGGGGGCGAAAATCGTTTCGGACGTGGAAAATTGGCAGAGATACAGACACCATACCCATCCTTTTCCCCTGGAACTCTAGTGTAGACATAGATATAAATCTACGTAATGAACTGCTCGTTGCCGCATGCTAAGCCAATAGTGAAGACTCGGATATAACGAAATCGAACGTCGGGCCCGTTGACTTTGTTGTATCCGAGTTTTTCTGTATTTTGTTATTCTGCTGCATGTGTCTGTTGTTGTTGTTTTTTTGGTTATTTTTTTTCCTTTTTCGTTTACTTTTGCTTTATTTGGACTTCTTTGCGTATGTATGTTTCGTTATTTATTGGGGGGGGGAGGGGTATACCTTTTCTATTTCATGTTGTTGGATATTCTGCGCTTGTAGCTTCGTTTATACGCCTTCTGATGTCAATTTCTGTTTTACTTAAACATACCTGTATTGTGAGCAGCTTGGATCCAAAGTTTTGACCGTCACAGAAAGCAACTGCACGGTCAAAGATTACCCGAGTGTCGTTGTTAAACAGGTAACAAGAGCCCATAGCAGACACCCAGCCTGACCGACACTGGAACGGTGTATCAGCAGCTACTGAAAGAACATTATGTTATTCAATTATAAAAGATTCTACTACCTTGGTCCTTTCACCAATACGTTTTACTGCGCTAATGGAAGAATGTAGATATTTTAGCTTGTGTGTTTAAGTACAAAACAAAATGTCATGTTATTTGATTGAGAGTTAATTTTTTAAGCATAAACAAACTTCTAATGAATGGAACAGTTTGTCAGCAAGCCACTGTTCTGATTGCGTGACAAATTCGGTTCCTTTAAAGAAAAATAACCAAGTGCTAAAACTGTCAAACTTGAGAAAATAGAGCAACAGAAACCGGTGTCTGTTGTGTACTAGTTACGTGTTTCGCCGTAGCACACAGACGACCCACGTTTGATTGACGTGTGGGGAGAATTTTGTGGAACACCTGGATGTATTTGCTTCGACGTTGCATTGCTTTCAGCCCGGGTTAGCACTGGGTTGAGGCTCGCCTCCTAAATGATTTAAATTGTGTCGATGGGGGCGCAAAGTACCGACATTTTAAAAACGGGGAAATATAATTATATACTACGCACGCCATTGAAATACACAACTGTTCTCTGTTACTTCTGTCGTTTTGATAAGACTTGTAAAGAACTGCTATATATCACTATTTTATACAATTTTTGGGGAGAGGAAGGTGTTATACAGTTGGTGGGGGGGGGGGGGGGGGGGTAGGCGGTCGAATAGTACCCAGCAGGGCGTATTTTAAATTGTCTATTTGCGTTCGACGGTACTTGTGGTGGGGGGGGGGGGGGGCGTTGGTTGGAGAAGTGCCACTGGGACTCGAATCCTTTTAGCATCCATAGATCGCTAATTGGAGCTTGGATTACTATGTCCAGCATCTTCTAAAGTCTCTTTTGAGGAGTGGATATCAAGGACAGAAATTGCTGCTACAAGGAGTACCCCAAGGTGGAGTCTTGTCACCTTTGCTCTTTATCCTCTTCATCAATGACCTTATGAAAGAACTGCCCAAAGGAATACATGCCGCATTGTATGCAGACGACCTGGTTCTTTGGAGCTCAGAGGAATTCGTCACTACTGCCACATATTGCATGCAACTAGCACTGGATAATCTCAATACGTGGACAAAAACCTGATGTGTAACCGTAAATAAAGAAAAGTCTTCTGCTACACTCTTCACTCTCAGCCAGGCTGAGCCAAAAAAACCTCACATTAGACAAAAAAACCTAAAGTTTGAGGATCAACAGAAGTATCTTGGAATAATCTTTGACAAGCGTCTCATATGAAAACAACACAGGAGCAAATGAAAAAACACTTAAACAGGTCTATCTGGGCGCAAGCAGGTCCCATTTCGAGTACGGATCCAGTGCATGGATGACTGCAGCACAGACTCACAAATACACTCTGGAAAAAGTGCAAAACCAAGCTCTCCGAATAATCACTGACGCAATGAGGTCAACGCCTACAGAAAAGGTGGAACAAACAACATCAATAGTGGCCCTGCAGAACAGATGGGAGTGCAAGGCCCTCACACAGTACACCAAGGCCACAGCTATGAAGGATCATATTATGCACACAAGAACAGCCAGATCAAACTCCACAAGACTAAAAAAATCCAACTTCATCAAAGAAAGCAGAAAAATCCAAAGATCCCTACAGGACCATTTACCAGCCACAGTGAACATGCAGAACCATACCCCAGAGGTACCATCATGGGAAAAGAAAAACACAAACATAATTATACTCACGTCCATTCCTATGTTCACCATAAAAGGTGACCATAGTGACCTGAGCAAGAAATACCTCACCCTGTCCATGCTTGAAGAAAGACACCCCCGAGAAGCATGGACAAGGGTCTATACAGACGGATCTGCCGCTGGTTCTGTGAAAAAAGGAGGAGCCGGAGTGCATGTTCAAACTACAGGGCAAAGACGGAGGCTCTAATACAGGCAGCAAAAATCATCAAGAATGTGGTGGACCCAAAGCCAAGTAGTATTCATAACTGACGCCATGTCAGTGCTGCAGGCAATCACTGCCGGCAAACTACCAAGGCTACGAGATGTAGTTGAGGACATCCCATGTCTGAGGATCATGCTGCAGTGGATTCCATCACGCTGTGGTGTCTTAGGAAATGATCAGGCAGACAGGATAGCCAAACTAGGAACACAGAAAGAGCAATCAGTCAACAGCGTTAACTACACAGAAATACAAACTATTTTAAGTAGCCTATTTAAAGCACCACAGACACCAGATAGCTACAATGAGCTCCCCCGCCAAGAACAGGTGATTATTTTTCGACTAAGATCCCAACACACAAGACTGAGACAACAGTTGTACAGTTGTTTTAAACTAGCACAATCACCAAAATGCCAGTGTGGAGAGGTGGACCAAACTGTTGAACATATCCTTCAGCACTGCAAGACACACAGTGCCCTGAGACAAAAGACGTGGCCAACCCCATTGACACTACAAGAGAAGCTATACGGGCCGTAAGATGAACTGAGCAGGACGTCCCAATTTATGACAGATACCAGACTTCAAGTGTGATGCGATCAAGAAGAAGAAGAAAGTCTTCTGAGGAGGGGGTCATATGGTCTTAAAGACCCAATCTCTTGCCCCTGTTTTTTTTTTCTTTGGACATACAAAACACGATATGTTAGGCGAACTGTTTTGTTTTTGTTTTTTTGCTGTCTTAGACAGTGAAAAAATAATAGAAGCAACTGAAATGCAGTTTCTTAAGAGAGTGCTGAAAATGTCGTGGAAGGAAAAGAAATCAAATGAGGTAGTACTTGATGAAGCCCACGTGGGACGGTCACTGTTAAAAACAATCAGGAAAGACAAATGCTGTTTTGGGGACACCTGTAGACATTAAGATCTGTAACATCTCAATGGAAAACCTGAAGGCCAACGAGGAAGCGGCAAGCTCAAAGCAACCTATTTAGTGAACCTAAATAGAATACATTGAATATAAGCAGATTAGGCAAGGATGTGATATGTCACCAGATCTCTTTAACATGTACAGTGGATCAATCCTTAGAAACATAGAAGAATGTCCAGGCCTCAAAGTAAATGGAGAAAATATTAATAAAATCAGGTATGCAGATGACACAGTTTTAATAGCAGGCTCCGAAAAGGAGCTTCTAGATACTGTTGTAACAGAAAGTGAACGTTAAGGATTATTGTTAAATGTAAAGAAAACAGAATGCATGGTAATATCCAAAAAAGCAGCAAATCCTAGTTGTAATCTCATTAGGAAAGGTGAAAAGATCAAACAAATCCAACAGTTTAAATATCTAGGATATATGATAACTTCTGATGCCAAATGTTCCACAGAAATAAAAATGAGAACTGCAATGGCTAAGGCTAGTTTCAATAAAATGAGCCCAATCCTGAAAAATAGAAACATCTCAATGAACAAAAAAATGAAAGTCCTGAAATGCTATGTTTTTGTCAACCCTTCTATATGGCTGTGAATGCTGGACAATCAGTAAAGACAGTGAAAATAAAATAGAAGCAACAGAAATGTGGTTTCTAAGAAGACTGCTAAGAGTATCCAGATAGGAAAAGAAATCAAATGAGGCAGTGCTTGATGAAACCCACGTGGGACGCTCAATGTTAAAAACAATCAGGAAACGACAAATGAAGTTTTGCGGGACACCTGAATAGACATAAGGGTCTTGAACATCAAGCTCTCAATGGAAAACCTGAAGGCAAAATTGAGGGCAAGCGAGGCAGGGGTAGGCCCAGAACAACATGCTTAGGGAACCTAAACAAATGGGTAACACTGAAAGATCAGGGAAACGTAACTTTTTTTAGAGCTTCCAAGCAAAGGAATGAATGGAAAACCATGATCGCCGATGTCTGTCGCAGATCTAGCACTGGATGATGATGATGAAACAAATGGGAGCAATACTTGGGTTTGATACAACCCGATTTTAATATGGACGACAAATAATAGAATTTTTCTCACCTGTATAATATTATTATCCATATTATGACTAGGACAAACTACTTGAAACAGATAGTGAGACTATAGAAATTATTGGATTTCCGTAACTCTCCCTCCCCCTATCCCGCATACACACACGTCATACAACCACTCAAACCTCCGAATCTAGTATTATACCAAGCTAGGCTTTGTTTTAAAAGGAAAGCCACAACATAATATTGTATCGTTTGTTTTAAATACGAAGCCAGTTCTTGACGTGTCGATCTAGACTCATTACCATTAGAAAGAGTGAAACTGTTGGCCATTGCGCGCATGTTGTATATGAGAAAGAAATGTTAAAAACTACATCACAGCCACAACTCACCAGAGTCCGAACAAAGAACCACAGCAAGCGCCAAGAACGGCAGTAAAGACATTGTTATTTTCCCCATTGTATATCTCTCAGAAAAGAAAACGTTTATTCATCAAACCCTCAGTCGTAGGAAGGTTTGCTACGTCTTCACTGACGCCCTAGCAACACATTTATACCAAACTTTGTTGTAAAAGGAAAATGACCTCTAGAAATCAACGCAAGTATATCACTGGCACGCAATCCAAAAACTGCAATGAGGCGTTGCCCGCACCAAATTTTATAATATAACGAACCGAGTCAGATATACTAGCCAATCAGTCCCACTTTGTCACGTCATTTTAACACCCCCCCCCCCCTTTCCAATTAAACACAAGATATAATGCTTTTTTCTTTTAGGCTTGATAAAAGAGCCCAATAACACATGGCACTTGTTGATTGCTCATGACTATCTGATTGTCAACTCGACTACCTGAATATTGTTGACGAATTTGAGAGAAAAAATAACCACTTCATCCGCTTCTATCGCTTGTGATATCGTGTGCTGATCCAGAAAACCTCTTCAATAAGATATCGCGCTAACACAGTTTTTTCATCTTGGATGGCCTTAAAATCCTTCAAGAACTATGATCTGTTTCTGTTTTCTGTTTATCATAGCAGGTGAACATAGTGCTACTATAATATGTTCTCTTCCTCTTGACAATAAAATAGCTTTGAGTTCACATGTTAATGCAGTTTTATTGTCTGAACTGCCTCTCTCTCTTTGGTGTAAACCGAAGTCTCTTTCCCCTTTTGTAGTCCTACTCTTTTTCGTTAAAAGGAATATTTTCGCTTCGTGGATTAGTTGCACTTATCACGGAAAGTGCAATATAAGATCATTTATATCACAATCAAAAAATCTAAACACACACACACACACACACACACACACACACGCACGCACACACACACACACACACACACACACACACACACACACACACACACACACAGCTGTCTTTCAGCCACATCCTTGATCTTGTGGTAGGGAAGATCTACACCTAGCCTTTTCGGACAAGGGCGAGAAATCTCGGAGGTCCTGTACGCAAGTTGCACACGTTAAAGATCCCTTGGTTATTCAAAATCGATATCAGTAGGCTTAGGCCGCCACCCGAGCAAAATTCAAAATTTCCTACCAACTGCCTGCGCGCTCTTATGACCTTATGCAGTTGTGTGCCCCGTAAAACGCTTGTCAAAAAAAAATCAAATCAAAACAACAACACACACACACAGACACACACATACACACACACACACGCACACTCACTCACACACACACACATACACACACACACACACACACACACACACACACACACACACACACACACACACCTACACACACATTCGCACTTATATACATTTTATATAATATGCATGTTACACCTAGTGGTGTGGTGATATGGTAATCTATTTGATGATATGACTTGATTGAGAGCCCTCCTCTAATATCGATAATCACGTTTTTCTATCAAATAAAATACCATAACGTAACACCCTGACTTGTGTATCCTTGACGGTACAAACCATGCAAAACTAAAACAAGTAAAAGCAGAAACGAACAACAAATCACATTGGCGACAAGAAATCAATTTTTACAAGGAGGATCAGTGTTCACTTTTTAGAGTTTATAACGCCTACGTTGATAGCAAATAAAAGTTATTTCAGCATGAAACCAAGGCCTGGTGAAAGCCAATACTGACAACTAATGTTATTCTTCAGTTTTAGGTGAAAGTGGACGCTAATACTATTTTGACGTCATACAAGAATGCTGTCCTTTGACATAAATGTGCTCATAATAAAGCCATCTCGTATTATAGTTATAGTCGTATTTAAATGTATGTTGTACCAAGATCTCAAAGATCAGGAGACCACCCCCCGGGCGGTGCTACTGACTGAAGTGTCTTAAAGCCATTCCCAAAGGGGTGGGGGACATTAACCATGCTCTTATGCACAGCAGAATTGTAATTGTGAATGGGCTGATTCATCATTGTCATGCTCATAACTGTGCCTGAACTACAACAGAGAACTGCTGCTTTTTCTTTTCTTATCTGTGCTATCGTCATTTTTTCATCTACTTCTTTTGTATGATTGTCACACTCCTATGGCCCGCTATTTCCGGGGTGCCTTGATAGTCGAAGCAGAATTTGTGCTGTTGAAGCTAGAGAGGTGAACAGAGTAAGCCTGATTTCCTGTAAGGCATCTACAAACACATAGGCACACCAAGAAATTACTGCAGGATACATTTTGCTGATTTTTCATCCGCATTCATCACAATCCAACCGCACATAATGGTTTCAAAATTAATTAACATAAACATAAACAAGAACATTATAGCTTGGATTCTTGAGTTCTTAACCAATCGACCTCAATATGTAAAATTAAATGGTGTAAAATCCGACCTAATATTAACGAACACCGGTGCGCCCCAAGGCTGTGTAATCTCCCCGGTCTTGTTTACGCTCTACACAAACGACTGTACTTTTGATAACAAAAACATCAAACTAATAATGATTCCACTCTACAAGGCCTTATAACAACAAATGAGAATGAATACAGGGACGCTGTAAATCTATTAACAAATTGGTGTGATAACCACTCCCTTTCACTAAAAGTAAAAAAGACAAAGGAATAAATAATAGGTTTTAGAGTAAAAAAAGACCAATTGCAACCATTACTTATTAAAGATGAAGAGGTGGAGGTGGTTAGCTCTTACAAGTATCCTGGTGTAACAATCGAAAACAAACTTGACTGGCATCCCAACGCTGCTTTTGTGCATAAAAAAGTAAATCAAAGAATGTTTCGTTTAGGGAAATTAAGAAGTTTCCGTGTTGATAATAAGATTATGTCCCTTTTTTACCATTCTATGATTGAAAGTGTGCTATAATTTGTATTTGCTGCTGGGGAGGGAATTCTGAGGTGAAAGATAAAGACAAATTTGACAGAACCATTAAGAAAGCCAACAAGATCTCTGGATATGATTTTAATAGAATGGATTAAATGTATAACACCACATGTATAAAAAAGATAAAAAGCATTATAAACGACCCATCACACCCATTTTCAACACAAATTGTAAGATCACGCAGCGGCAGATATGTACCTCCAAAAACAAAGAAAGGAAGATATAAAGGAAGTTTTTTTTACCATCTAGCATAAGGCTGTTGTCAGAATGAGCATAAATGTGTGTTACTCTTAGAGTATGTATCTATATATTACTCCAAAGATCTAGTATTTAAATTCCTGCATGTGGTTGAATGATGCATTTGATGTAAATGTACATTTTGTCAGCTTTTTTTCTCTTTTCATGTTGAATTTTAATGAGAGTAATATATATAATTTAATGTTTTTTAAATGTATACTTGCATGACTGTGTTTTTACGGTCCTCCACAGCCAAGGAAAAATGTCCCTCTGGGATAATAAAGCACTATCTATATCTTATCTTATATCTCTGTTGATATCCCCTTGGCGCTCATATTATGACCTTATGCAGTTGCAAGCACCGTAAAACCTCTACTAAAACAAACAAAAGATCAGGAGATCAGTCACTTATGGAATCACCTAGAAAGAGAGGTCAAAAACACACTAGGAGCCCCTTCTCCCACAGCATTTGAAGGCTACAAAGTTGGAAGTAAAAAAAAACAATTAAAATTCATTTAAAAGCATACTTCATGACATGCCATCTTGCTTGGTGGTTAGTCTTTCTTAATCACTATAGGCCAGCTCTCATCTTAATAACGCGATGTACATATGTCATCATCGAATGCGTTGCAATCGTATAAATACCAGCGTATGCTTTAGCGCTGATCTACAGACGCTTGTATGCATGTTCATGCACATTGATTTTCGTTTAGTAAATATGAAAGTATTGTAAAGCGCATAGAACTGCATTATAAGGGAGTGGGCACTATAAAACCTTTTTTTCCATTATTATTGTTATTATTATCATTAGTATTATTACTATTATTGTTCTTTTTTTCATCATCATCATCATCATCATCATCATCATCATCATCATCATCATCATCATC